GATGATCATGTATTGAGTGGGATAGGAAGATAAGCATTGGACCCAAAACAACTGGAAAACAAGAATTACCGGATCTTTCAAATCGATTTGGTTTGAGAAATGAATGGCCAAATTCTCGACAATTTCATGTTTCTCTTTCAAAACGGCAACATGAAGTAGACGCATTCCTAGGAAAGAATGTTTGAATTGGTGTCTAATAAGTTATTCAGAATACGTTGATACCTCTGTGATCTCTCGTTTTCATCACATCTTCGTCAACTAACTGATCCAAACGTCTCGCTTCATTCTGCTCAATTGCCTCAATTGCACTGCTAAGCCGATTCTGAATTTGACGGAACTCTTGAACATGACGGGACAATTGGGTATTGCTGTGCTTTGTTGCTCTCCAAATTTGATCTCCTTTTCCTATAGATAATATTTAATTCAATTTTTTATATTACAAAATATCCAAACCCTCAATCTGAAGCTGCTCCAAAACTGTATAATCTTTGTTTCTGATCTCACTATTTTGAATTCTGCTGAGCACATCTGGTTCGAATCCTTCTGGTGAATCCGGATCCGGGTGTCGTTCTATTAGAGGTTTTACTATATATATATAAGATATAAATAATCTGTCAATTGATAAAATGTTTCTCATCACCAACATTTTATTAGTTGACATATTTTTGATATCTCTGATAGAAGTTGTTCCAATGAATTTTTCCTTTCATTACGTCGATTCTAGATTCATTACACATTGCTTTGCTATAATTCCACCAAAAAATTGTTAGAGATTCCATGTAGTCATCCATAATAATTACTTTATTAAGAATATCGATACGTTGACAAAATTTATGAAAAACCTATCTGAAAGTTTCAAAAACTCTCGAAAACAGTGTATCGCAAACACTCTTATAGAAGGCAACCCTTCCACTTTGAGCGCAATTATTTCAATATATATATATATATATATATATATATAAAAGATATAAATAATCTGTCAATTGATAAAATGTTTCTCATAACATCACCAACATTTTATTAGTTGACATATTTTTGATATCTCTGATAGAAGTTGAAATAATTGCGCTCAAAGTGGAAGGGTTGCCTTCTATAAGAGTGTTTGCGATACACTGTTTTCGAGAGTTTTTGAAACTTTCTGATAGGTTTTTCATAAATTTTGTCAACGTATCGATATTCTTAATAAAGTAATTATTATGGATGACTACATGGAATCTCTAACAATTTTTTGGTGGAATTATAGCAAAGCAATGTGTAATGAATCTAGAATCGACGTAATGAAAGGAAAAATTCATTGGAACACAAATATTCCATCCGGAAAAATACATTATTCAAAATGACATAATTTCAATAAATTTGCACCACATCATAACTTTCCCACCCTCGCTTCTTTCGCTTTCATGATAAATGTTTCCTGTTCAAAAGATGAGAACTCGCAAAAGTGCACTAAACGTGCCAACGTCTTCAATTCGCAGACTCGCGATTCTCGAATTATTCATGGTGTTCCTCGAATTGATATCTTCTACTTCTCCCAAAAAAAAAACTAATCATTTGAAATAGCAGATACTTTTTTATCAATGTGACTCCATAGCTTGTTTTCTCTTCCTAGACTTGCTATCTCTGGAGTAAATAGGATTAGTGTGTTTTTTTGCTGTGTCATCATATCCGGATAATATGAACGGAGATCTTTTGAGCTGTCTTTTAAACGATGAGTGTTCCAAGGCTGTTCATAACATAAAATAAAGCTTCCATTAGGAGCTTTAAAAGTTTGAATGTCTTTTTAGAAAATCTGAAATTGAATTTTTGATATCACTGTGAGAATTCTATTCATATGAATTCATTTATTATCAATTTTCTGTTGGTTTTTTTTCTTATTTTGCTTTCTAACTTCTCATGAACCCTCCCTACAATACTATGTTGGCAGCTCCAGGAATATCTTCAAGATTTTTTTTAAAAGTTACTTACCGTAGTTTCTCTAATATAATAGAAGCCCACCCGAGTCGTCAACATTGAGCCCATACATCTCATTTCCTGTAAAAGATATCAAAAGATTGTCAACTAAAAAATATTTATCATAATTTCGAAAATAATTTTTTAGTCAACCATTTTTTGATATCTTTTGCAGGAATCGAGGCATATGAGCTTAAAGTTTAAGGTTTGTTTTGCCTTCTATTAGGGGAAATACGGTATTTCAATCACTATTTGTTCACATTATGTCATAAAAACTCATAACATATTTGATTCATATAATTTCCTTTTAATCTTTCATGCGACTACGTAGTCGAAAGATTCAAAGTTCCCCCTCCTACGTTTAATTCAATAAACTAACCAAATGGATCAATTTCCGGCTGTGCCCTTCCTCTTCCATAACTATTTTTCCCATTCATAACAATCTCACATCGTGTTGATAATCCTTGTCACTCCCTACATGACAATCTTTTTCTCAAATCCCCCAATGTCACCTTCGCGTGTCTTCTAGAAAGTTGCGTGTTACGTCTTCATAAATATTCTGAATAGTTGTCCGAGTCTTGATGATTCACACACTCTCTCTACGGGTGGCTCTGATAAATTGATAATAAGACGGACGCCTGGTTTCTCTCTTTTTTCACCACCATTTTACTTCTTTTCCTGGTCCATCTGTTTTATTTTTTTCTTTTCTTCCTCTTACTCTCTAACTGAAATTGGTTGGTTTGGCAGCGCCGATGGATGCATGAGCGTCTACCATTTGATAATTTCTACTTCATGTCATCAAGCGACACTTTCGAAAAACTGTATATTGAACAACATGGTTTGATTTTCGTTTATTATATTGATTAGGAGTTTATTTTCTATTCTATGTTTTGGAAAAATGTTCCAAATGGACAGTTTTCGAAATTAGGATTTTAAAAGATTTAGCCAAGATGAAGCCATTTATTTCGAGATTCATCGAATTTCTTTCCATTTTCAGATGCACCATCAGAGGAGCAAGTCGATGAGTGGTTGGCAATTGGAGAAGTCCTAAAACTGGAACAGATTGTTCTCGATGGAAGAGGTCACATGCTCAAAGAGAAAAACACTGTGAATGCAGCTAGCAATGAATTCTTGTCTGGACTCACACAGTATCTTACCAAGATTGATGCAATCCATAAAGCAGTAGAGGAAGGAGACGTGAGAAGAGTCAAGTCTCTGATTGATAGGCCACTTCTTTCCACTGCAAGGGATAACTACGGTGAGTTTGTTTATGGGAACTGGAGGAATACTTGAAAGCGTTGTAGCGAGAACAGTTTTTTTGTAATAATTTTAAGTTTGCTACTCATAGTCAATGTTTTCGGATAGCATCCACTTGGTTCACTATGAACCAGTGACGTTGGAAATTATCTTTTCGATAAACGGAATTCGGAAAACGGAAGACGGAGGTCGGAATTTCGACATGTCAAGTGTGTAGAAAAGTCATAAAATTCCAAAAACAACTTCTCGCAGAAGAGTCCAAATCATCATATATCCTGAAAGTTCGAAACAAACCATTTTTCCCGTATTCCGGAGTACGGAACCCGGACAAAATTTTACTTTGGAATCCAGAAGTCCGGAACATACATGAGGTATTTTTGTAAATGTGGGATTTTTGAATTCGCGAAAATTCGACGAATTTTCTGAATTGATAAATCAGCTCGCGCTTTGGTGTGTTCAGGGTAAAACTAGCACGAAAACACAATGGTTTTAAAATGCTAGCTGTAAAATGTTTAGCCTTCGAAGTATTTAGGTCTCACTTCGAAAAACAGCTCAACATTTACAAATCACCTCATGTATGTACCGGACTGAAAAAAACAGGGAATCTGGAATCCTAACATCTCTGCTTTGAACATGGAGATTCTGATCAAAATATCTGATTCATTGATATTTCAGGAATGACACCAATCCACAAAGCTCTTCTTCATGGACAAACCAACACAGTCCGATTTCTTCTGACCCGTTTTCCGAGCTGTGTGAACGCAACAGACCACGTAAGGCGCTTTCCCCCTTTAGGGCATCATTCAAAATGGATAAGTCGAGCCTCCATGATGAATTCTCAAAATAACGACAAATCCTTCTTATCCGCTCTCGTTTTTCGTTTCTTCTTCTTATCCTCTTCAGCCCTCAACATCATAATCACACGCATTGAATCAATCCATTTCAAGGGCTTCTTTATTTTGTTATTCCTTCTTGCTCTTGTATCGAGTGACGACTTGGTTCTTCGTTTCGTTTTCAAATCCAAAAAATTGATTAATTTTCCTTCATTCCAGGCTGGTCGTACTCCTCTTCATTATGCTGCAGCTGATCCGAATGGTGAACATATGATAAAAGTGCTTCAGAAGAGTGGAGGCGACGCATTTATTGAGGATAAACACGGACATACTCCATTCTACTATCGGACTCATGGACAACGACTGAATGTTCGGTCAATGAAAGATAATGCAGTAATGAATCAATTGATTTCTGGGCAATTGAGCAGACCATTGCTACAAGATTTAGAAGAAGACATTTATGATTGGATTCATACTGGAAATATTGGAAAATTAGAAGAACTAGTTTTAACTGGATATGCAGATTTGTTGCTTGGAAGGAATCATGAAGTCGACGATGCAGATAGTATTGGATTCTTGAAGTTCTTCCACAGTATCAGGCATATTTTAGTTTATCGGTAACTTTCAGTAACCGTATAATTCCAGGCTAAAATCCAATCGATCCACAAAGCAGTGGAAACTGGAAACCTCCGAGCTGTAAAGCTTCTTACCGATCGTAAGAAGCTATCGCTCTGCCGGGATACTCGTGGACTTTCTCCACTTCATAAAGCTATAGTATTCGAGAGAACTGATATTGCAAAGTATCTGATCAGAAACTATCCACAATCTGTTAATGCTATGGACCAGAAAAAGAGAACTCCTCTTCACTATGCAGCAGCTCTGAAAGACGGCGGATATTTGTATAAAGTGATGAGAAAATCTGGAGCTGATCCCAATATTTATGACTGCGTGAGTCATTCAAACTTTCAGAGCTCAGTGTCTAGCAAGCCTTTTCAGAATGGTCGTCCTGCAAAATACTACTTGAAACATGCTGGAGAAATCGATTTGGCTGCAATGAGATTGGACACACGGGCTGCACTGAAACAAGTTTTACATAATAGAGTTGCTCCAAGCTATCTAGAATCTTCTATTCAACAATGGCTTCGTGATGGACAGTTGGCAAAGTTGGAGCAACTTGTTTTGTCCGGATGTGGAGACTTACTACAGAGTCGGACATCGCCTCACACTGAAACGCAAGCGTTTTTGGACAGATTGCCAGAGTATATGGTAGGTTTGCAAGAGACAAAGAAGATACAAATTTCTTTTTTTAAAGGAAAAAATCGATGGAATTCACAGAGCGATTAAAGAGGGAAATTTGGATGAAGTCAAAGAATTGATGAAAACGAAGAAGCTGGCAATTGCCAGAGATCGCTACGGGTGTACACCACTTCATTCTGCTGTTGTTCATGAGCATACTGATATTGTTCGTTATATAGCAGGACACTATAATTCCGTTTTGAACGCGCCTGATTATGTAAGCACAGGCTTAAAATGTATTCCCTAGAAAACAATATAACTTTCCAGAACAAAAGAACAGCAATGCATTATGCAGCTGCTGCACGAGACGGAGGACATTATCTGAAAATTCTTGGAAAGGCTGGCGCAGATCCGATGGCAGTGGATAATGAGGGACGAACACCAGATTACTATCGACGCAATGCGGTTATTGACTTGAAATTGATCAAGGATAGAGAAGAAGATTTTGAAAGAATCAATGAAGAATATCTGGAAGACGGAGGAATTGTTGATTCTGCTCCAGCTACACCAGATTCGGGAAGTGAAGCATCATTCGTGGATAGTGCACGATTGTTAGATGAGGATGAGGAGAGCATAGGGCTGCATAAACTGGAAAAGACAATGAAAGGAAGAATTGAAATGCCGACATCGGAGAATGGAGTATATCTTGCCAGAACTGTTGCACCTGTTCTGACAAAAGCTTTGGCTGAGGTTTGAAAAAAAAAGTATACTATCAGAATGATTTTATAATTTTAAGGTATTGCTCCGTCGACCAGCGGATCCGATTGGTTTTATTGCCGAGTGGCTTTCAAAATACGTTGGAGAAGGACCCCGTCGAAATGGGAACGGGCATAGAGATGCTATTTAGAGATTCGATCATATAAGAATTCAGAAAATCATTTTTATTTCACATTAAGAGATTGTCATCTCACAAAATTTCTTTTCTTGTCATTATTTGTATAAATTATATAATCATGGTTCGACATTCAGTAGACAGGGAAATTGGGGTCAATGGGATAGGGGAAAGTTTAGTCTTGGACGGGAATAATATTGTCATTGGGGAGAAAGCGACTAAGTCACGGGGTGCAGATAATCACCAAATGTGTGGGAAATGACGATGATTTCAAAAGAGTTAAAATGGAAGGAAGAAGCATTTGGAATGAACTAAAAATTTCAAGTAGAGATTAAGCTTTCAAACAGAACTGAAGAAAATTGAATATCTAGGAAGTTATCTGAGTTAGTTGTTGCTTTGCAGTCGCTGTAGAGCTCTTTTTCTGGAGTTGAGTGAATCGGAAATAAGCTGCTGAAAGTGGATGGACCGCCTTTATGTGGGACAGGTAAACTTCAAATTTCTCGTCTGTGTATCCACAATCTTCGCATACGAAAACCTGGAAAATAGCATTCGGGAATAGGTGTTAGCTATTCGATCTGGTACAAACTTCTTCTAGCTGGTTATTAGTAAGTTAAAAGCCCAATCAAGTAACTAGTCGTTTTCAATGTTGCTTCCAAGCTCCCAATTCAGTACCCAGAAGGCAGTCCAAGGTGACGCCCAGATTGCCAAGGTTTCCAATTCGCACAGTGGAAATCAGCACAACCGTACACCCCAATTGCATCGAGACCCGCAAAGACTCATACCATTTTACGAAAAAAATTTTGTTAAAATGGGTTTGTTTTAAAAAAAATGTTTTGCGGATTTCGACGGGATAAGGATGTACTTCCGACTGTGCGAATTGGAAATCTGGGGAATTTGACTATCACTTTGGATTGCTTTCTAGTCCCAGAAATCTCAGGTTTCAGAACTTTGTTATAACGAAACAGATCGAACACATACCTTGCTCCGACGTTCCTTGTAGGCGTATTGGTGAGTGACACCATGAACTTTCCGAAGATGAGATTCCAGGGAACATCGTTGAGTGAATGATTTCTCGCACTGTTCACATTTGTAAGGACGGACTCCTGGAATTTCGTTAAACCGTTGAACATGTAATAGAAGGGCCCTCTAACTTTTAACTGTGAGCCATTTTTTCTCCGCTCCTGTCAAAGATCTGCAAAAGTTTTGAACTGATAAATTGTTAATCATGATATCAGAAGTGTTTTGTAAGCTGACATGTTTTTGATATCTTGCATAGGAATTGAAATAAATGAGATCAAACTTGGCAGTGTGGGGGACCTTGTATTACATGTTTTACAGTATCAAAGTACACTAGCTAATCATCCTCAAGCATTATGCAAATAAGATTATGAAACGCTAACATTGATCGTTCTCTTTTAGTGGCCAAATCCCTTTTTTGACACAAAAGTATCTCTCTACAATTGGCGCGCCAAAAAGTGTGGGTAATATTACGCCTCTCGCTACAATGGATTCATTTCAATGACACGGTTTGAATAAGAAAATAGTGTTGTAGGAATGGAGACGCAGACAACTTCCTTCCAACCGTAAGTCAACGGAGGGTGAGAAAAATGGAAGAACGACAAATTAGTGGTTATGAATTGGTGGAAATTAGAAATAAGAGGCAAAGTGTAGGTAGAGAGTACTTTCTAAAGTGAGTTTTGAGTGTATCCTCTGTTTCTTTTCTTTTATACATACCTGTATGGGTTCTTGTGTGTCGTTTTAGATCGAATGTATCGTTGAAACCTTTACCGCAAAATGTGCAAAGATATCTTTTGAGATCACTGTGGCACTTGATGTGACGATTCAGAAGACGTTGTAGTCCGAACTTCTTTCCACAAATGTGACACGTCAATGAGTCTGTGAGCTCTTCGTTGATTTTGGATAGAAGATTGAGAGAAGATGTGCCAGCAGAGGAAGACGGTGTGGAAGATTCAGAAGATGAGAGGGAGTTAATAAGTGGAGCAAGTGGATTCTTGACTCCGTATCCGCCGTTGACGAATTCAACGCTTCCTGGATTTACGATTGGCTGAAAATAAAGATGATCAGAAGATCAGAAGACTAACTGGCATACACTGGGTATGGCTGCCTGTGGAGATGGCGAAAGAATCGAAGGAGTTGGTGATGGAGGATCATCATTGAGGAATCGTTCAATGAGAAACTGAAACTGTTTCTGTTAATATGACAAGACAATGGAAAGACTAACCTTCTTCGAACTCTTTACATCGGGTTTGCTGCTGGTGGTACTGCTGATGTTGCTACTCGAAAACAAGGTGTTGTTGTTGTTAGAAAAGATCTAGAAGAATAAATATTGAAGAAATTCAGAAGATTTGGAGCTAACCTGAGTAAAAACATTGATTTCTCGAGGCAGCAGTTGCGCTCCGATCAGTGGCAGCCATACCCGTGAATCCATTCTGAATAGAGCAGAGCTGGAATTCAGGATAGTTGAAAACTTGATAACAGGTGAAGGAATGAAATTTTTCGAGAAGAGGTTGAAAAAGAGGTGGAGTCAAGAACGAAAAAATTCTTATCAGGATTGGAGGAAGAATTCGAGTAGAACAATTATTCCGACGCCTCGGAGCCATATAATGATAGGTTCGGCGGGAGCAAGTGCCCCAGATTCCGGGGATAATTGCCGACGGCTCGGTAGAGTAATAAAGCATACGGTAATGGGTAAAAGGGAGCACATGGAAAATTGGGGAAATTGTAGGTCTCCCGAAAATTTTTGTTCCTGTTTTCATGAAACGCTCATTCAAAAAAACAGAAAAGAAGGAATTACCGTAAAAAAGAAAAGGCTCATACTGTCAAGTTTGAGCTGGTTTTTTCCGAATCCTATGCATAATATAAAAAATGTGCTAACTGACAAAACAGTTTTGATATTATGATAAACAATTTATCAGTGGACAACTTTCTTATATCCTTGACAGGTACCGACATAAATTGACTCAAAGTTTACAGGTTTTATGGTATCTGAAGAGAATGGTAAGAAGAGCAAAAAAGCATAAAACTAAATAATTGGGAGTATTTTGAATGCCACAAATGGAATAAGTGTTATGCAACCAGTATAAGTGACGGTTACAGTTGTTATGGTGTAACCGTGTATGAGCACTTGACGCACTTGAGAAGCGGTTCTGAATAGCATCAATCGAGGAAGAATAATAAGAAAAAAAAGAAGAAAGAGTAGAAGAAGACAAAACAAGCAACTAGTATTATTCCACGTGGCAAATGAGAGGAAACGGTTGTGTTGCGCAACTGTTCAAAATGGGGAAGAAGAGATTTGGATGCCGACGACGCCATTCGAAGGAACGTTTAACAACGGATGAGCTTGTGGGCGATTAGAAGAGAAAAGTGGCAAGAGGAAAGGCAATGGAAATGGCTGGTTGGTCGTATACAAGAGGATTACTGTAGACGATTTAAGAGAAGAATAAGAAGAAAAAAAGAAGAAGACCGTTGGAAACCAGTTGAAAAAAAGCGGGATTATTGCGTAATCGCTCAGAAAATGGTTTGAAGGTTTTTTTAGAGTTACGCTCATTGAAAAAAAGAACGGTTACTGTAGATATTGTTTTCTTGAATGCAATTCTGCAAGAATATTGACGACTTGGAAAAAGGCAATGTAAAAAAGCTATCAAAAACAAGGTGGACCCGAAAACGCCAAAAAAAGAAGCTTAATTTCAAATTGGAGATGTATTTTTTAAATACACAATGAACAAGTTACCAGAAAAGAGGTTCTGCGCATAAAGGGCAAGCTGAGAATCTGATCATAGTTTTGAAAGTATTCAAGAAGATTAAAAATCGATAGAGACAGTTTCTCGAACTTACAAAAAACAAATCAATAGCTGGGTACCAGTTTATTAGAGTAAATACGGTATGAAAAAGCAACTTCCATGGTCTTTATTTTTGACGATTCTCATTGGATCAAAAAAATACTGCTTACTTTTTGGCGTCCAAACTTTTTTAAGAGTCAAATAACATAACTATAATAGTCCCAATGTTATCTAGCATTCATTCAGAGAAACAGTTTACGGTAAAAAAGATTTTCCTCCAATGAAAGTGCATATCGTATTACCTGAAGTAGAAGGGCCCACACACAGTCAAGTTGGAGCTCTATCATCTGGATTCCTGTGAAAAATATCAAAAAGTAGACAAATGACAAAAGTTTTTTGATATAATGATAAGTACTTTATCAGTTAACAATATTTTGATATATTTGATAGGAACCGAGATAAACTGGCTCAAAGTTTGAAGTTAGGTGCCCTTCTATGAATTACAGGTTTTGCAATAGATTTATTACAGCAATCAGATGCAATTCCCTGGTAGGAAAATAAAATAATGTTCTCCCTTATTATATTTTTCGAAATTTCTCTGAAAAGAGGAAATGAATTGAAATGACAACAAAAGGCGGAATACCAGTTGTATTCCGGTCTTCCATCGGGGGTACGGTATCACATAAAACCGAATCGGTTGAGTCGGTCCGCAATATCAGCGGTACAAAGTCATCGACCTCCCCTTGTGTGTGTATATTTGATTTTTCGATGGATTCTCCATTACCTCTTCTTTTTTCTTATTCTTCACCTTCCTCAATTTTTACGCATTCTACAGTATCGGCGTCACGCCGTCTGCGTCTGATCGAATCATCACAAAAGAGGTGTTGAAACTGTGAATGACGAAGGAGGAAGGAGAAGAAGTGGTAGGAAAGGTGTCTTCTGAAGACAACGACGACGACGCCAACGCGCACGGTGCATTTATGAAGCGTGACGGTGAGGAAAAAAAGGCATTTTGAATCACTGTTGATCAGCCAGTTGGGCGAGAAAAATGGGAAAGAGGAAGAAGAAAACGGGGACGATGGGAAGGAGAAAGGATCAGAATGTTGGTAATGTATCTAGAAATCATTAAAAAGGACAGAAAAAGTAAGCAGAGGTTCCTATATTGATAAGTCGAAACGTTTCAGAATCCTGAAAGTTACCGTCAACGGTTGAGTGCTTCAAAATATCCAGTTTTAGCTCAAATATCTCGGTTCCTGTAGAGGATATCAAAAAGTCGTCCATTAATAAAATATTGGTGATATTATGATACATAATTTATCAGTTGTCAAATTTTTAGTATCTTTCACAGGAATCGAGATAATGGAGTTTAAACTAGACAACTTGGGCAGGCTTCTTTCAGAGGAAGCACAGTATACTGGAATCGACAGCAAATAACTTTTTAAAATCCGTGGAAAACATGTTGGTAGGTATTGTTTCTCATGAGCCTACCAGTGTCTTAAAAAGGAGATAATTGAAAATAAACAGGTCTTTTCTAGAACTTTTCATGGTCTCTCGCCCATGGTAGCAGGAATGACAGAAACTTTATTCTCTCTCGAGCCCTTATTCTTATGAATCATAAGAATGTTGTATCCTTGGAAAATTAATAAAATCGTTAAAGGGAAACTAACCTAGTACTGTCAAACATTTGTTATTATAGCTGGAGAGGATTACGGTAGCTATAAGGACAGTGATAAAAGGTTATCTAATAGTAAGTTCTTGTTCGAAAAATGATCATCAAAAAGACCAAAGCTCAACACTCTTGAAAAACCAAATTATTGAAAATTCACCTGGACAAGGAAAATATCAGAATGGGTCTACGAAAGCTCTGAATATCTTTACAGACCTTCTGTTAATGTTACGGGAAAGATGACACCGTCCTATATCAGGCTACTTTTCATCTTTTTCATCGACGTCGTTGTTTCGTTACGGTAAATCGTTCACCGCAAACTTGCAGCCATCGTCTGTCTTGTTCTTCTTGTTCTTTCCCGCTCCTCCATCAATCCGGCCATATTTTCCGGCAAATTGCGGACAAACTTGCGTCTTCTTCTTCTTCCCACCTCTTTTCTCAATTCTTGGGGCCAAACACAACACCTTGGGGTGAGAAGTAGAAGAAACACTAATTATACGGATTTTTCGACAATACATACGACCACATTAGAAAAGGCCGTCCGTGGCTTCTTGTTGATGGAGTTATGTCGACAAAAAGCATGTCCGACCGACGAAATGAACATGATGACGATTTGTTAGTAATACCGCCTGACGAATTGAAGTCATTTAATAAGATTGAAATACGGGCAGAAGATCCGAGAGAAGAGAAGAGACAGTTTTTATTCGAAACGGACCGGCGAAATCCGGATGATGGCTAGTGACCTCAAGGACTGTAGAGGGGTACTGTAGCGCAAGAGAAGTGATAAAGTGTTTAGACCAATAAAATTTCAACAATCATTATTCTAGTATGATCCGTGGAAGAGAAACGCCGATGGCTGAAGGTCCCACAACGACAACTACAGTAACCTGAATTTTTTCTTTTCCAGATTTTTTAATTTTTGCGACTTGTCTTGGAAAAAATAAAAACCTTGGCGAGAAGTTGTGAAAAACGAGAAAATGAATAAGGAAAATGAACATATTTTTAGGTTACGGTAGTTGTCATTGTGGGACCTCCGTTTCACAGAATTTCAAAGAAAGAGAAATTTATAGGACTATGCACTCTCTGCACGGCATGGTACCAGTAATTCAATTTGGACATTTTTGCTCTTAGAAAGTACTATATAAAGAAATTGGAGGAAAACAATTATATTTGGGTAATTGAAGCTTTTTTAAATTAAATCATTCAATAACCATGTAGAAATGTAGAGGGATTATTTTCGTAACTAAACATTGAATTCTCAATTAATTTTGCAGTTTCTGAAACCCTGGATGAGCAATTTCACATTAACATTTCCGTAAAAAGTACCGTATTTCCTCTAATAGAGGCCCTCACTCTCTTGAGCTCAGTTATCTCGATTCCTGTGAAAGATATCAGAAAGTTGTCAACTGATAAAATATTTGTAGTATTATGATAAACATTTCGTCGGTTGGTTACTTTTTGATGTCTTTTACAGGAAATGAGATATATGGATTCAAAGTTGACAGTTTGGAGATTGTATTAGTGTTTACGGTAAAAATTTTTTAATTTCTGGAAATCAAGATTAGAAATTTCATATTAACTTTTTGATATACAGTATACTGGAATTGGGAAAAAAATCTAAACAAATCAGTTTTGAAAAAGAAGATCATAAAAAATAATCAAGACTTTTCCATGAGCTCTCGCCCAAAGTAGCAGGAATGACAGAAACTTTATTTTCTCCAGATTTCACAAGTTGTCTTGAAAAGCGCGAAACCAAGGACGACTCGATTCAGTTCGAATTGACACTCCTCTCCTTCTTCTTCTCTTCTACAATAAGTATGCGGTTGTCTGTGTGTTTCTTTTGTATCTGTTATTAAGAACCTGACGATCCCTCCTGTCTATTATTACTTTTTTTCAATTCATTTTCTGCCTGTTTTTCTTTCCGTTGAGTAACTGTCGTCTGAATTAATTTTTTCATAATTATTGGTTAGTCGCAATAAATATCTTCAGTTTTTGGTTCCAAAATTTTCCATGCCTCATGTCATACCAAATATCAAGATGGGACCCCTGGAATAGGACTTTATTTGAATATAGGCCCTTGCGGGTTTTGCTATGGTATCTTTCAGGTTCATCACTTTCTGACCAACTGAAATACCGTATTTCCTCTAATAGAAGCCCATGGGCTGCTATTTTTCAACCTTTTTCTCAGGGTGAGCTTCTATTAGAGGTGGGCTTCAAAAAGAGGTGGTTCCTTCTATTAGAGGAAATACGGTAGATGAGATAGAACTCACTATCAGAGAGTACATCATAGTGTATTCTACAGTATTTTTTACAAATGGAAAATTGGAAGTAACTGACTTGTGTCTGTGATCTCTTAAATTGGCACCAACCAATCAAGTTGCCCAAATGCCCCATTCCAGATCCCGAGAAATGATGAACCATTAAAAAGGACTGCAACGAGTTCCTAGAGATCAAAATGATGTTCGATTGTAACCTTCCCATCGTACAAGAAATACCTTATTCAGTTTGTTTACTGTAACCTCCGAATAGTAACATTATCCTCGAGCAAACAGATTACGCAGTTCTGTCAAACAATGAGGGGACTTCAATATTATTGCAATTCAAAGAAAACATAATCTATTTTGGTCCTGATATTTTCTACACAAGTGCTCTTCCATCTTCCCGAGTTTCCAGTATTTTTTGAAACTTCACAGTTTTTTTCCTACGTGCAGGGATGTTCAAAACTGATTTCGGAATTCCTTAAATTCCGACCGGAATAATTCCGAAGCTTCTTTTTCGGAATCAGATTCCGATCGAATTTTTGAGTTTTTTGAACTACCGTATGTCAAAGGCGCACGCAAAAAGTTTTGTTGCGGGTTTCGAGCGGAATCACTTTTCGCGTTTTCGAAATTTGTTTGTCAATTTTATTAACCAAATTTTGGCCATTTTTCTCATGAAGTTTTCTCTCCGGAACATTTTTTCTTCTGAATTTGAGGGCCTCGCGGTTTGTTGACATGGTGGCGCAATCGCGCCCTAGCCGACCGACTGGCGCGAAGCCAATGTTTTAAAAAGTCAAACTCGGGTTTTCTAACTTCCCAGTCGTTATATCATAATTTTATCGATTATCTAGGTCGTTTCAATGAAAAAAATGTGTTTATATTTCAGATGATTCTCGAAGACAACTTCAGGCAAGCATTTTACAATAAAATCAAGAAAGGAGACAAAGTAAGTTTCTGCTTCCACTCCGAAGCTACAACTGTACAATTTCAGAGCGTTGTGTTGATCGTTTCCGTCGATGCAGATGCAGTTTGCTCTACTATGATTTTAACAGTGAGTGAGATTTCATTGTAGAAGTAAAAACTATCCATATTATGGGTGAAAAATAATTTTAAAAGATTTATCTGACAACATTTAAGAAGGGAACAACTGAGACCGTATAATTAACGTCGGCTAACTTTTTTCTGAATCGAATATAGTCGCCTGGTGAGATCATAGAAAATTATACCGCAAAATACCCACAATGTAATAAAAAATAAGCAGTACGGAATTGATATTCCGAATGTCAACTTCACAGCAAGCAGAACTTCGAATATGACTTTGCATGTTATACAAACTGAAAAAAAATGGTGAAACTGATTATCAGTTTGAAATTAACTCACTGAATTGCCCCGTATGCACTGTGTTGAAAGGGTACAAGAAACACCACAGTGCTCGAAGTCCCATTGCTTGCTGCGCTGATGCTCGCAAGTCTGTATAGATACTGTAGAAAATAACCGCGAAGAATGAGGCATCGGTGGCGAAAACCACAAAGCAAAGAATTATGAAATGCTTATCGCTGCTTGGATTATCCTGAAAAACACCATTTTTCAAAGATGAGTTTAGAATGGAACCTACCAGGAATAGAGCGAGACAAACAGCTGTAGCGAGAAGTACAAGGAAAATACATATAGTTCTCTGTCCCGATTGAAGTCGCATTTTGAATCGTTCACATAGTATTGAAAAATATGTGAATATCTATGGAAGAATACAACTAGAAGAGAGAGAGGCCGCAGAGAAAAGACGCGCAGGAGAGCGCGTTTACCAGACTTGTAAATCGGCGCCGAGACCCCGGAAATTCCGGGGAAAAAACTCCGGGGAATATATAATTATTGGTTCCGAAGCTTCTCACTATAGAAATTGATTCATAGTTATGTTTGAGTTCTGATTTATCACAATTGCAGCATCTATTGAAATGTGATGACGTTCCGTATTCGATTCGAACAGTAGAGGGATGGGGATCAGTGGACAAGATTTTTGTCGAACTGCAAGAGCAAAGTATGAATTCCACTATCGATTAATTTTTTAAATCTTGCGTTTTCAGAATGCAACTACATTCTCATCAATTGCGGAGCGACGCGGTCCTTATCTCGACTCCAACTTCCTCCGGATTCCATCGTCTACGTTCTTGACTCCCATCGCCCATTTCACATCGAAAATGTATATGCGAACGAACAGGTCCATTTGTTAATCAATAACAGTGAAATGACAGAATTACAACTTCCTGATGTTGATTCCGTGATACAAGAAGATTCAGACGATGAGGATGAGAATGATGATGAAGATGCTCCATACGAGCAACAAGTGGAAAATGTGCGGCGGAGAGCTATCAGAAGAGAAGAGATGCAAGTTTGGGAACGTCAGCGACAACGAATTCTTTGGAAGTATTATGAATCCACGTGGTTCAGTTCTCCTAGCTGTGTCACTTTGCTCGAATTGGCGGCTGAGATGAACAAAGTTTCCGCGGAATTGATGTGGTATACATCAGTCGGATTGAACAGTGCTTTTATTGATAAGTTGGTAGGTATTGTTTCTCATGAATTATATGGTATTTATAATACTTATTCCAGATTTCGATCGAGAGATACACCCAAATTTGTGTCGACCGAATGCGCCCATTCGTCAATAGATTCATGCCTAGAAACATCATTAATCAAGGAAAAGTTGATGATCTCTTACATATCACATTTGGTCGTGAGCTCCCTCTTGCCATATATTCACATTGGGATTTGTACAACTCAATGACGGTCAACGAATATTTTTCGATTAAAACGAAAAATTGGACGCAACGAGGGGATGCTAATACCAGACAACTACTCACACAACTTGGAATTACTTTGCATGAAACAAAACAAAAATTCGAATCGCTACCGACGGAACAACGGAACTTGGTTGTGGATGTTTTGGAAAAAGAAATGGATTCGTCGTTTGCCACATTTTTCGCCACTCTTGGATACTGTGGGAAGCTGAGCGCTTGTGATGTAGCTCGAGCTGTTACTTTGAAGTTAGAGATGCCAAGACATGAATCGGTATAGTTCTTGAGGCAAATAATTATTTACATCTCTAGACGTCTTATTTTCAGATGCTGAACAGGTTTCAAGCTGGAAAGATGATTTTGCAATCGTCGATCACTGGAGAACGCCAAGAGCGCCTACATCTTTCTCACACACTGACTTCAACTTGTCAGCGAGTCCTTCAAGTTTCCTGGAAGTCCGTATCAGCAGCAATTAATCAGTCTGAAATCATCTCAAATGGACCATATTATCTCTTTTCGTGTGCAAGGGCTATAGGTGGGAATATGATTTTTAAAATATAATTAAAACATTTATTCTTCAGACGAAGATATGCTAGACTCCCGCCACTTCCTCTACAACACTACAAGTTTCATGCTCAGCGCCTTCGCTTCGATGAAAAAAGGAAGAACGGCAAAACCATTGATCGCAATGTTTCCCTTGGATGGCGAAAGCGCTGGATGGCTCGTTGTTACTGGAGTGATGCCTATTGCCACTATTTACGAAGATAATCTTATCAAAACGTAGGAGGAATTTATAGGTCATTAAAATATACATTATATTCAGGTGTATCGGAAGAGCATTTGAAAGAGTGAAGAAAACGAATCCTACAATCCGAATTGTTGATGACTCTTTTAACTCTGATATCATCCGGCTGAAGTCAGAAGATCGAACACGATTCATCGATCTCCTCTTGCATGCCTTCGAAGGCGATTAATTCTATTAATTTTTCGTAGTTCTTTTTTTCAATGTTTTCATTGTGTGCGGGTCGTTTTTTGATTTTTCCAACTGCTGGTCCCTATTCATTTTCTCAATTTTTATATACTAACATCGACTTTCAAGTTTCTTCGTGAACACTGTCTGTGAATTTCTGTCAATTGATTAAATCGGTTCAATTTTGTTAATTCTTACACCAAACTACTCGAAATGTCTTCGTTCGCTACTAGATCTAATGAGTCAATTTCATCAAAAATTAAAGTGAGAAACTAAAGTTCCTTCTCCTGTCATTCGCCACTTCTCAGCAATCCTATTTCGTTCATTCGACCCCAGAAGGATTGAATGGAGCTCAATATCTTGCGGTCAATCGAGAAGGAACAATCATCTATGGTCTTAGAATTCGTGTCGAGTTGAGCATCATTGAAGCGCCTGGAGATGTTCCCGAAGTAATAACGACAGCCACAGAGAAGACAGTTTGTAAGTACCACGTGGCGTCTGGATCTTGGAAAACGTTTCAACTCGATGATGATTTCGATCCACTTCTTCTGACAAGGGTTCTAGAATTCTACACTATCAGTGATAATCTTGTAGTCATTCTTTGTTATGATTCGGAGCATTGTCAGTTTATTCAAGTCTTGATGTATCTAGAGCATGAAAAAGAGTGGGCTCAATCTGTTGTATACAGACGAAAAACAGTCAGTCGATTGGCTGGTCCACCAATAGTCAGTGAGTTTTGGTGCAATTTTTGATTGTCCAGAAAATTGTCGAAATTGTAGATTTGAGCTTTTTGGATAAAGGAAAAATATTACTGTGCGGTGTTCGAGGGGCGGAAAATGGAATAAATGAACGAATGTCGATGAATATTGCTGCTAATCCATTGAATAGTTTTAACCAACAAGATGAAGATTTTAGCAATTTGGTGATCTTGGATAGGGGAATGAAATGTTTCATATTATTCTTTCAGATGGAAGAATTCAACAAATTTCTGATTACACGACCCCCGGATATCGATGGAAAATCTTTGATCAGTCTGTTTCTTTTGAATCTTGATCAAGATCAGATATCGGTATTATTATCAGAGTACGAACTAGTACCGTAATCATGAAAATTAGATAATTACAGAGTTGATCCAAACGATCCGAATAGTGAAGCGATTTTTGCAACCAACTGCATTGGAATTATTAATAGAAAGGATAAAGAGTTTTCTGTGGAACAACTTGACGACTCAGTCATATCATCGTAATAGTTTTATGTTGAAAAATTTACGAGAATCAATATTTTCAGAACGGGTAAGCCTCTGAAAGTCACTTCAATAGCGAACATGAAAACGAAAGGTGGCAGTGTTTGGATGACTTTTTCAGTTACTGATATCGAAAAACTGAAAACGATTTATTGGAGGTGCAAACACCTTTATGTTCGAGTTATGCTGTAATTTGAGTCTTCTGTTATAACAAAACGCTTAGAATATTTTTCCAGACGGTTGATGATAATGGGATTTCATGGAAGTATTTATTTATGGAGGTTTGACAATGGTTTCACATTCTACTGTCTCACTCGAATTCTGACGTTCCTCCATGGGTTCGTTTTTGACTTCCGACTACTCTACATAGTGCTGAAAGTTTTATTTCAGACCCACCATGATTCCAATATATGCACCACAGAAAAAATTCTACATGTGTTATCTGGATATTCAAAGAAGACGCTTCTTCCGTTACGATCATACTGCAAGAGTTCAAAAAAATAAAAGAGATCCAAACGAGACAGATTTCGCTATCAGCTTCGATGTCGATTCATCTGGTGGAACTGTCGTGCTTGATCATCCAATTGACGAATGCAAAGAATCAAAAATGAAGTTTGATATAATAAGTTCTGGTCTCTTATTTTTTGTCAGTTTTCAGATTGAGCTATTTTCCCAACCCGACAAAGCCGCAATCGCTCGTAAAACTAGCAACATTTTCTGCATACAGGTCTTCAACAGCTCTAACTTCTTCTGTCCATGAAAACTTTTTGATTTCAGAAACTTCCCAGCATTCGAGAAAAGTAGTCTTCTCAGACGACTCACTGGTTTATTTGATTGGAAATGGAGCGTGTGACACCCATCCCATCTGAATTATGAAACTTTCCTGAAACTAAAAAATTTTCTTTGTGCAATACAATAAAAAAAATGCTACATGAGTTGACATACAACAGTAATACAGAAACATCGAAATTTAAAATCTGTCGACCAATGTTTCGATTTTGGAAACGATCTCTAGCATCTTATCGTATTCCCCAATAGTTTCGGTCGTATTTTCGATGGATTTGCAATTAACATAAGCGATAGCTGCTTGCAATTCAGCCAGTCCAGCCGAGTATTCTGCACGGGCAGTTTTTCTCTTAAAGTTGCGATAAAATGAAATATAGAAATTAACACGAATGTTTTACCTCTTCGAATGTTTTGCACATCGAATCCGCTTTGGAAACTAAACCAGCTATGTTCTCTTCAGTACTAGCCAGCTTTGTAGACTGTTCTTCCAATCGAGATTTAACTCTAGTTTGACTAGAAGATACATTCCCAATTAGTTCGATGAAATTCGTCAGTTGACTAGTCAAGTCTTTCGCCATTGCAGATTGTTTCGTAATTTTGCTCTCCAACTCAGAAATTTTCTGAACCACTTCACTTTGTTTATTGGCCAGCTGAAAAAATACAAAACAACATTTAGAACTTAAGCATTGCTTCGAAATACCGAGATAAAATCAACGAAGTCGTCAGCCGGCTTCGATTTTTTTGCCAGAGGATGGTTCAACTTTGCATTTTTCGTATTTTCCACAAGCTTGTTAGCAGACGGATCAACAACTTGGTCGGAAGATAGTGGAGTTGCAAAACTAACTCGCTGAAGCATGTTAATTTCTATTTATGAAGACAAAAAACAAACTCGTTACCCTATCGTCAGGGTTTCCTGGACGTTTTTTGAGAGAAGATCGAGGTGTTGAACTCATCGGATGAATAGAATTTATCAAAAAATTAAGTGTTGATTTTCTCTAAAATAACTGAACAATTTGGGAGGAAGTTACTGTAGCAGTCGGGTGCAGCACACATTGAGTTGTGTTGGTCTCGCACCGAAAACAGTATTTTTGTCGCCGCGATTTTTCAATTCGTCGCGAATTCTGTTTCTGGCATAAAACCGATTTTCTGACATTTTTTTTCCAATAGAAGTAGTTTCATGATAAATTGCAATCATAAAGTTTTTTTTCAAAAAAATCTTTCAGCGATGTGGCGCAGTCTCATTGTTCTTCTCATCGCTCTGACAGTCGCTACTCATTCGAATTCCCTTCAGGATGTTGCCAATGGGTCGGCTAATATTGTCACTAAAATTCTCGGTAAGTTATTCGAAAAATGAGATTCATTTTTCGCGGAAGGTTCGTTCCAGGGCTCCAGTTCGATGAATCTCACACAATTCTTCTCAAGCTTTGACATGCCTTCGTGTTTCCGTAAATGCATGCCTGCCATGGATAACGTTGGAATAATGCTAGAAATTGCCAAGAAACCAGAAGCTATGAAGGCAATGTGTCAAAATTTAACTGAATCATCGAAATGTGCAATGGCTACAGGATGTGATGCCACATTTGTTGGAGCTCTTTCGAATGCTTTTCAGTTTGTTTGTTTGGATAATTTGGAGAGTTAGTTTCAAAATTCCCCGCAGAAACATGTTTTTTGCTCTTTACAGAAGTTACTGCCCAAATCACATGTGTTCAAGAAAATGCTGGCGACCTGCAGCAAGAGTGTGAAAATGAGTGCGCTGTGCAAGCAGATGCTATTGACAAAGCTTCCAAAAACACAGCTGACCAATTGTTCAGTGTAGAAACACTGTGTAGCTCAACCTCGTGCATAGCCAATTGCTACCAGAATAATATTCATAAGTTTTGTGAGATTGGGGAAGATAATGTTCTCGACACAATTTTTTCGCAATTTGAATCGCTAGAACGGCCCGGTCTGATTGGATACGTGAAGGAGAATGAGCGAAATAAGACAGGGATCGCTAAGCTTTTTGGAATGATGATGCCGGAAAATTGCAATGATGAGAAACTCAAAATCAAGATTCCAAAAAAGGTGATGCTTCCCGAAAAACCAAAATCAGTCGGTTCGCCTCCTGATCTCCGCAAAGAGATTCCTATTCAAAAGAAGTCAGTTATTGAAACCGAAAGAAAAGTTGAGTCCGATGATGCTCTTCTCGCAAAGGCTGGAAATTTGTCGTCAGCTGCTTTGATGTACAACGGCAAAATTCAAACATTGCAATGCCAATTTCTCGACTCGCGCGGAAGCCCCCAGCAAACCCCAGATTTCGAGACGCTGTCAAAAATTTTATCAGTGAATTCCCAAGATCCGTACGATTGAAACAAACCCACTTCCAGAATCACTTCAACAAGAACACTACTCCGAATACTACTAAAGCCTCAACCGACAAACACAACGTCGATGCAAAAGAGCGGAAGTGTCGGGAATTGTCTTCAGATCAACCACAGACAAGAAACACCGTATCCACTACAGCAATTTCGAACATTTTCTGGATTGTTCTGATTTATTTCATGTAGGATATGTTTGTACTGAAATTTACTAACTATTGATATTGGCATGTTTTTATTTTTATGCACGATTTTCAATTATGAATGGTACTTGGTGTATTTTTTATCAAGAACATTGTTCTTATCATTCTCTATACTTGTTAATTACCGAGTCATACACTTGATCTCGAAAACAAGTCATTTTTCTTCAGAAATGACATCGAGATCAGGAATTTATAACAAATCTGGAAGGGAGAGCATTAAAAAAGCTACTGTTGAGACATATGACAACCAACAGATGCCTGACGAACTAGCTGCGTTCCACGCTTTCCATCTCGATAGTCAAGTTGATTCAATCGAAAATGAACAAGAGGCCGAGCAGAATGGAACTGGACACACGAAGGAAGAGTTCAATCAGCTGGAGACACCGAGATTGGCCGATCAACAGAGTCCACATGAACACGAAGACAAAGATAGTGATACTGATGATGAAGAAATCCGAGTGAAAAGAAATAAGAAGCAGAGAGTAATGTTCACCAAGTTAGTCAAAAGTCGACTGGCATCAGAATGGGAAGATATTGGATCCCAGACTGATCATTCGGATATGTCAGAAGGTCACTATTCTGACGAAACGAGTGAAGAGAAAAACAAGCGTGAATTCCGGAACAAGGCGAAATCAGAAAAAAGAATTTTACGGATGGCTGCTATCAATGAGAAACACAATATTGCAGAATAATATATCAGAGACAAATAATCACAATTCAATAAAGGTTTTTTTTGGTTTTGTATTCTTGCTGTTCACTTTTCTCTGTAGTTTTCTTCTTCATGAAAATACCGCTTCACCATTTTGAACATGGGTTTCCGTAGCGGGCGGAATGTGTACCGCCTCTTTCTCTGCGTCTATCTCTCCCTCTCAACTGCCTAGCACGGCGACATCCACTGTGCTGTTGTCAGCAGCTTGAAAACGCTTTTTTTTTGATTAATCATAAATATTCAAATTTTAATTAAAAGGTTATCACCTTCATCTCACCAATCCCAATTCTCTTCAATTTTTATTGAAACTTTTAACAGAAAGAAATGGACGGACCAGATGAAATTGATTCATTAATGCAATCTTCATATACTATGATGATGTTGACAAAACAGGGTAAATTGTTCGAATCACTTCTTTTGTTAACAATATTGTCCTTCAGGTGAAGTCCATTTGGATAACATGCTCAGCAGAGCCCATCGGGTTGCTACTCAGATCTCATCAATGTACAAATACGAAAAACTTCTCCAAGATATGCAAGGTGGCAATCTATCCATAGTTTGTCTATTTCTAATTGTTCAATTCTAGATTTGACTGTCAATGGTAGCAGACGCAGACTTATACTCAATGATTTGCAAAGAGAGAATAAACAAATCATGGCTTTACAAGACGAAAATCGACATCTTCGGGAAACTACAGAAGAATATTTATCAACTATTCGAGATATTTTGGAATCACATTCCGAACTAGAAAACTCGATTGAAATGTGAGTTTTAATATTTATCTTAAACGACTTTGAAGAAATTAGCTGTATCATTCAGGCAACATCAAAACAAAGAGATCGACAACATTGATAATATTATCTTTGAACTAGCCGATACAAATCTAGAGACCCGACTGAAGTAAAAAAATCTCTTTGTCCACCTGATAATAGTTTAAAATTGCAGAGCGAAAGCACTGAAAATGCAAGAGATGATGGATGATTTGGACAAGGTGCGAAGAACGGAATGTCAAGAATTACAGTTGGCCGTACAGTCTAACAAAAATTATAAGTAAGCATTTTTTTATTTTTTAAACACAACATTGAAACTTTACAAGGAAGTCCAAATAACATACTTGTAACGGGCCGGGACCGGCCCGGCGGGCCTGTCATTCCACAAGTTTTGAAAATTTCAAAAAACACATAAGGGGGGACCCTTATGTGATTTTTTCCGATCAAACATTTTTATTCGACTTTTTTTCAATATTTTTTGATCATACAGACAAACAATCCAAAAAAAAAACAAAAAATGAAGAAAATTGTATTGAGAGCTCAAACTTTGGCTCAAAATGACAAAATTTTTGCTATCGGGCCTTCCGGGCCGGGCCCGGTTTCTCTTTGTTCAGATTTTTCAGTGTTTTTTTCAGAGAACTGTTCAAGATGGCTTGTTTTTCGAATCCATCGGCTGTCGCTGTTCTGAAAAATGCCTTGAAGATGGTGGAAAATGATATCTTGGACGAAGCCAGCGAGCAGATTAACAATCTTCCCGAAAATGAGAATATGAATGATACGATAATTCAGAAACCATAAAGTTTTTGTATATGTCTGCTTTTCTTGTTGCCAATTGATAAACATAATGATCATCAATCCCATATGTTTAAAAACATCTTTCGAATAAAAACAAAGTTGTAACAAACCCAATTGGGCAAATACTCATTCGCTAGAGTCTCACTTGCTAGAGAAGCTCTTTTTCTATAATTTTTCACCACATTGTATGTAGGGGAAGAAACCTGGAAATCTTAAGAATTTTCAAACTGGAAAAAAAGTGTAAACTGAAATTTGACGATTTTTAGCGAGTTTTTGCCTTTTTTTTTAATATCAGACTAGTCCAATCTTTTCAGATTTATGTCACAGCCAGCAAGAAATCATTGAAAAGACCTGAAAGACTATAAAAAATTGTTATTTTACTAAAATCACTGTTTTTGGCGAAATAACGCTGTGTTGAAGTCAATGAACTTAATTATAGGCTTGAATCTTCCGAAAATAAAAAAATCGGTGAAAAACCATCGAAAACTGAAACATTCCCAAAAAGCACCCAAACTTCACGCAAAGTATAGTGGACGGCGGTGCCCGGGAGATGTCGGTACATCCGGAACACCTCCCTACATAATAGAAATCGTCTGGGGGTCTTTCGGTGGACATCACACAATCTCTTCTGAGTCGGCTGAGATCCTAAGGATAGTTTGCAGACAGGGGAGCTCCTATTTAGGTTAGTATGCGTACTCCCTAGTGGCTCAGAAGAGATCGTGTGATAGAGGTACCCCCGAGGCCAACCTAGGGTATGGGTCCCGGGAATTTTCTGAGCTCTGAACGGCCTGTGTTGTAAAGAGAAAACTAGAGCCCAAGTATAATTTTGGTAAAATGTTTAATTTTCGTCAGCTTTTTGTCCGTTTTTTGTCCGTTTTCGTCAGGTTTTGCGCACGGTGAATAATTCACGCGTTTCTCGTGCATCGATAAAAAAGCAACATTCAAAAAGTTCCAAAGAAATTAATTTGTTCGTGAACCGACATATTGATTAATTTAAGACTCTAGGCATCGTTTTTTTCCCTCAATTCTTCCCTTTCTAGGTCATTCCACGCCAATCCAATCCAAAAACTCCACGCTAAAAAACACGCCGAATAAAAAAGCAAAAAATTTTGGAAAAAAAAAATAAATCTTACGTAGGATCTTACAAGGGAAGACGTTTTAGAAAGGCTTTCAGAATTTTCTCATTTTTTGACAGGGGTTAGTTCACCTCCTTATTTAGCCACTGACAAAATCTGTATACGCACTTTTTCCAAAAATGCTGAAAATTTTCGTCTGAAAGTTTCCAAATGCTTAACCATTGTAAGCCCCCTTTTTCCTCCGTTATTTCGCCTCCTGGGAGACTCCGGGGAACACCACACACTTGTACGCCCTCGCGTTCTGTAGTTTTCAGCGGCGACGTCACAGGTGATTCGTGATTGACCAATTACAGAAGAAGGGCTATAATCGACCAATTACTTATCTACCGCGAACGAGAGGTTCTACAATTGACCATTCGCGAGCAAAATGCGTATCACGCGGCCGGATTTCGACACACCAAATTGCTTGTCCACGAGGACTACACCGGGGGGTGGCCGAGAAAACTCCCACTTTCTCGGCCATCGCTAATTTTTCTCTATTTTCAGCCAATTTTCAGCCAATTTTCAAGCTAATTTCTTGCCAAAAGACACAAAAACTTTCAAAAAATCAAATTTCAGTAAATTCTCATCTTTTTTGATCTTTTTTTCACCTAAAATGTTTCGAAAATCAGTCGAAAATTGGCTTTTTCATTTTTTTTTTCCGTCTGTCTCCTCTCTAAATATTAGTGTTATAATGTAATAGTGCTGTAATTTATCGAGAAATGCCTTCAAATATGTCTCTCTTCGTCATAATTTCCACTTTTTATCCTTTTTCAAGTGAAAAGTTTTGATTTTCAGGTAGCACAAACAAGGACTTTGCTCAGGGACTTCGCCGCCGCTTCTCAACAAAGGTGAATTTTTTCTTCGAATTTTCTCCGCATAAAAAGTTATTTCAGATCGAGATGGTAGCTGAAAAAATGGAGAGGAAGGACAGTGAAAGCTCAGACAATGGATTTCTGAAGAGAAAATCGTCTCTCCCGGTAAGAAAATTGTTCCGAAAAAAAATGTCCGGTTAATGGTACTATTTTCAGTGTTCATCATCGTCCCGCAAGCTGAACATCGATCGATAAAGATGAGTTTTTCTCCTGAATTTCTATTTTTCCTAAAATTCAAGCATAATTATCGATTTTTTTCAGCCGGGAAAACTTCGAAGCGGAGTCATCAAGGCAAGAGGAAGGATCGTCAACTGTCAACTGCCAGGTATTCAAATTGTTCCGTAAATATTTTTGGGGTTAATGGTACTTCTTTCAGGAGACCTCTGTTTCCAGGATTCGATGGACTTGGATCTTCCGGAGAGGAAAACACAACTTTTCAAAATATTCCATCTTTAAAAACATTTATTTTTTGAATTTTTTGCAAGAAAAACTTTATTTTTAAACATTTTAATGACATATTGTCGGAATAAAAAAAGTGAGACTCGGTGTTTGCGTACTTTGATTCCCGCCTCCCCCCACCGACGCTCCGCCCATCGCTTTGCAAGTGCGGCGTGGTGTTTTGGCGCCCCACTTGGAGATCA